AAAATTTCACTCTGAATATCAGTATTTCTTAGTCCAGGAAGTTCAACTGATTAATGTTTACATTATGACTCATAATTTTATCAAAAACACTTTTCTTGCACCAACATCATGAAGTTAATAAACATTATCTTGGAAAAGATTCATTGTTAGGCATTTTTACTTAGGTTTACAAATTATCTGAGATTACATTTTAAAATAAATTTTGTGAAATGAGGGTCAAGCTCTCTTTTTTTTGTACCATTATATATATTTAAATTAATACAGTTTATTAAAAGACCATCTTTTTTTTTTCTGCAGTATGAACTTTTGCTTATTCAAGTGTGCCCATGTTCTATAGTCATTCAACAAGTATTCTCTAAAGCTTTCCATATGCAGTTATCTTTCCTAGCTGAAATCTTTTGGTTTTAAGTAAATTATAACAATATAGAGGGAGACAAACTAGAATATACATTATGAATTTTGGATAAAAATATTGGGAGGCCAATTGCTAGATAAAATATACTATATTGTTTTAGCACTTTGGCCACCTGATGCAGAGAGCCAACTCAATGTAAAAGGCCCTGATGTTAGTAAAGATAACGGCAAAAAGGAGAAGGAGACAGCAGAGATGAGATGGCTGGATATTAATAGTGTCGCTGACTCAATAGACATGAATCTGAGCAAATTCCGAGACACAGTGGAGGACTGAGGAGCCTGGCACGCTACGGTCCATGAAGACAGAGTCGGACATGAATTACCAACTGAACAACTACAAATCAAGTAAGCAGCAAATTTTTGCTGACAGAGACTAGTCCATTAAATATGAGATCAGCAAAAAAATGAATTTCTTATAAATAGAAACACTAGGGAGATAATCCTGATATCAGAAAGTCAAGCATAAAATGGCAAGATCATGAGGATAACCAATTTATATTAATGCAGGAAGCAAAATTCCAAATAATGTCTGATTAAGACAATAGCAGAACTAAGTGGGGAAAAAGAGCACTAGCTCAAGGCAGTGGATAAGACGTTAAACATTAAAGCAGTCATTTTCTCAAGGCTATCATGACAGCCTTATTCCTCAGAGTATATATCATGGGATTAAACATCAGGGTAACATGGTATAGAAAGCAGAAAGAAAAAAATCTTTCCTGTAAAAATGTTTGGAATCATGTCATAAGTATGTAATGTTTCTGGGTCCACAAAATAAAGGCACAACTATGGGGCTTCCCAGGTGGTGCTAATGGTAAAGAACTTACTTGCCAATGCAGGAGACATAAGAGATACAGGTTCGATCCCTGGGTAGGGAAGATCCCCTGGAGAGGGGCACAGTGACCCATTCCAGTGTTCTTGCCTGGAGAATCCCATGGACAGAGGAGCCTGGTGGGCTACGGTCTACAAAGCTGCAGAGAGTCGGACACAACCGAAGCAACTTAGTTCACATGCGTGATATGAACTGAGCAGGTGGAGAAAACTTTGGCTCATTCCGTTGCTGATGGCAAACATAGGAACGAGAAGTGATTTTACTGTAGAAGCCAAGTTTCAACTGACAGGGGATCATGACAAACAGCACACTAATGGTGCAACTGGAGAGATTGACGTCTCACTCTAGAAAACATCGCCACAGGTCAGCTTGCAGTTAGAACCAAAAAATGACAGAGAGAAAATCTGGCATGTTTGCCTTATCCTGACTGTGACACCACTGATTCAAGACCCAAGAATCATTAGTTGAATACAGAGCTCCTGGTTTATAACCAGAAGAAGTTACAGAAAGTTACAGTTGGCCACATAGCAGTCATGGGCCGTAACTGTGAAGACCAAGTATTCTACATTCCCAAGAACAGAAATAAAATAAATAAAATAAAATATATCTTTGTAGTGCAGGCAAATATATATATATGTATATATATATTTTCTGACTGGGAAAATTTATGAATATTCTAGAAAGAGTGATAGGTACATAACAGATTTCCAGGAAGGAAAAGTTACTGAGGAAAAAATACATGGGAATTTGAGAGCCTGGTCAACTCTTTAGGAGAGTATTGATGTTGCTTCTCACCAGGATAATCACATATAAAAGAAAAATATTACATAAAGAAACACCCAGATTGGGAACACAGAAAAATCCCCAAATAACCAATGTGATCACTGAAGTGAGATGTGCTTCTGGGTTTTGTGTGTGTGTGTGTGTTTGATGTTCTCTCTGTGAAAAGAGTGAAATCAGTCATTTTAATTTTTGTATAGCTATATATAAATATATATTTGCTGTTGTTGTTCAGTCTTCCAGTCGTGTCCAACTCTTCATGACCCTATGGACTGCAGCACTCCAGGCCACCCTCTAGCTCACCATCTGCCGGAGTTTGCCCAAGTTCATGTCCATTGCATCCGTGATGCCATTCAGCCATCTCATCTTCTGATGCCCTCTTCTTCTACCTTCAATCTTTTCCAGCATCAGGGTCTTTTCTAACGTGTCAGCTGTTTATATCGGGCGGCCAAAGTATTGGAGCTTCAGCTTCAGCATCAGTCCTTCCAATGAATATTGAAATACATATGTTTATATTATATAAAATATATATTATACATATGGAAGAGTGCCTATGTACATATATATCCATCTCATAATCGTATCTCTATTTGTAACTATTATTAAAGCTATCATAGTCCTTTTTTAAAAGAAATCAAATATTATATAGTTTGATTTTGTTTAGTTCACAAAAAATGTTATTTATTTCAAATATCAAAGATTATTTGGCTGATATTAAAATTACCCTGTTAGCTACTAAATATTCTGTAAAATGTTGGGAGGCAATAAGAAAAGAAGATATGCAGTAATTTTCTTCCACATGTATTTTTTATTGTCTGAATAAAATTTATGATTTTTGTGATGTGCACATTATTCTCTTTGTAATAAATCAATACTCCAAAAAGTATAAATAAATAAGTCAGACATTATCTGAACTCCCTTCGCTGTAAAGAAGCTCATTCTCTCTTCTAATACGCATCCAGATACCGCTGACATATATACACACCAACTACAAAGATGCACATGTGAAATGTTATATGAATATATGGATGCTATCTCCCTTTGTTTTACAAAAATAGAGTTATATTTTATACATACATTTATGTACTTATTACATGTCTTAAAAGCTTGGGATTTCTTCACTGGAGTGTCCCTAAAACATTGTTTTGAGAGACTATGCAGCATCACATGGTAAACGGACGCCCGTGTCTAATATGTTCCAACTGAAAGCAGCTTCCCTTTGTTTTGCTAGTGTTGTCTTTTCAGTATTAAAAAAGCTTTTAACAAACATCTTGGACAAGCACAGGTAGCCGTCATTCTTGGGCAAATATTTTTATGAGGTTTCATTGATATAGTTCTTAAAGTTAAAAAAAACCCTACATTTTTTTAAAATCACTGTTCCTAAAAATACACAATTTATTCAGGATGATTAGCATAAAAACACCTTAATAAAAAGACTGCTTATATAGTGTATTTGTACACTAGATCTTTTGTAGCTCTATTGTAACAAATTATCACAAATCGGGTGGTTTAAGCAGCAGAAGTTGACTTTCTCACATCTTTAAAAGCCAGCGTCCCAAATCACAGTGCTGGCAAGGTTTCGCTGCGCAGGCTCTGAGGGGACAGTCACTGCTCGCTTCTTTCAGCTTCCGTGGTCCTTGACCGCCTTTGCGTCATGGCTGTGTCACTCCCGGTTGCCGCCTCCATCTTCACGTGATATTCTTCTATGTGTCGCTGCATCTCTAGCCTTCACTTAATCTCTCTCCCCCCTCATAAGAACTAAGAACACTGATCTCAGGATATAGTGCCCTTCCCTTAAATTAAGATAATCTTGTTTGAAAGTCCTTAACTGAATTACATCTGCAAAGGCTTTTATTTTCTTGATAAGTTCAGGTCTGCAGGTTATAACCTGACATATATTTAGAGGGATCAACGTTCAACCCAATGCCCCTTATACTTTAAATTCCCAATATTCCTAACACTAAGGAGACACTACCAAAGCAAACGTGAAGCCACAGCCAGAGGAAATGGTGTCACTAGAGAAGACTCAGCATCGAGGTAACACAAGATCCTTTCAGGGTTTGTACTCTTGCAAAACAGAGAAAGAAGGAAAAAATGCTGGAAAATTCTAAGGTTCCGCTACTCCCACCAACCTGGACGTGGTTGTTCTTTTCTCATCGTCTAAATCCAAACCTGAGTACAGAAAACGACAGTGAATACGTCTGAAGGAATGGGAAGTTTCAAGCAAATTTCTTTCAAGACATGACCCTGATCATTAGTTTTATAGCAGTTAACTATCATTTTATTGCTCAGGAAATCTCTTAACTCACTCTTTCCCAGTGAGAGGAAAGATAGGTCTTCAGAATAGATCATTGCCATGGAGATAACGTGTGCTTTGATAACCCAGAAACCCTTAACTCTTTGAAACTAGGGTCCTTTTACATAATGTGAGATGGCAGTGATGATATTAACTATCATTTCATAGGAACATAGAAATAATACTAGATGATATTGTCTGATGTATTTCATGAGAAACATAGAAACAAATTGCTTCCGTAATTTCAAGCCTTCGAGTCAAGTTGACAATTTTCTTAGTAGTTTTCTCAGCGCCACGGTGATAGCTTTGTTCCTCAGCGTATATATAATGGGATTCAACGTTGGGATCAAAACTGTGTAGAAAAGAGAGATCAGCTTCCCAGTTTCTTCAGATTGATTCGGTTTGGGTTGTAAATAGGTGGTAGAGGCTGTGCCGTAGAATAAGACCACCACTGTGAGGTGAGACGAGCAAGTGGAGAAGGCTTTAGCCCTCCCTCTGGCGGATCGCAATTTCAGAATGTTGGAGATGATTTTGCCATAGGAGACAACAGTCAACAGAAATGGAACCATGATGAACACCACTGCAACTACATAGACTGCTATCTCGTAGCAGTGTCCCTACAAGCAAGCTTGAGTACTGGGGGGAGGTCACAGAAAAAGTGGTTAATTGTGGTAGACCCACAAAAGGGCAGAGAGAAAACCTGCCATGTTTGCCCAGTTACAACAGGAACTCCACTGACCCAGGAGGCCGTGACCAGCTGGACGCAGACCTGGGGGCTCATGATCAGACCATAGTGAAGAGGGTTACAGATGGCCACGTAGCGGTCGTAGGCCATCACGGCCAGGAGGAGACACTCTAAACCTCCAAGCAGAAGGACCAAACACATTTGTGTAGCACAGGCAATGAAAGAAATGTGCCCTTTCTGGCTCAGGAGGTCTGTGAGCATTCTTGGGATAGTGAGAGTTACATAACAGATTTCTAAAATGGAAAAGTGGTTGAGGAAAAAGTACATGGGGGTCTGGAGAGCGGGGTCAATTCTTGTTATCGGTACAATGACACTATTGCACATCACGATGGTCAGATAGAGGACTAAAAATATCCCAAAAAGAATCCATTGGGAATTGGGAATGTCAGGAAACCCCAAGAGGATAAATTCCACCATTGTAGTGATGTTTGATTTTTCTGTTCTTAATTTGTACTCCATCTGTAGATATGGTAAATTCAAGATGGTTAATTCATTAATGCTTTTGAGCAGCATTTCCCTTCTGTTAACTGAATTAGATGTATGAACTTATTTACATAATCCATGCAAGTACTGTTGCCTTTGCCTTGCTCAGTTTCTAAGAAATGAGATTTGAAACCTCAGCAATAAACTGACGTACAGTTAAAATCAATTAGAGAAATAAAATCTTCATTTTTTACACTTGGATGTAGTGATACCAGAGGCTTCCCTGGTATCTCAGCAGTAAAAGAATTTGCCTGAAATTCAGGGGTTACAGGAGATGTAGCTTTGATACACAGGTAAGGAAGATTCCTTGGAGCAGGGGACGGCAACCCACTCCAGTATCCTTGCCTAGAGAATTCCATGGACACAGGAGCCTGGCGGACTATGGTCCATGGGATCACAAAGAGTCAGACACGATGGAAGTGACTGAGCAGCAGCAGTAATATAGCAGAAACAATAAGATGCATGCATTTTTATTTAGAGCTTATTGTGCAGCAGTAATATTAAATTATTTCACCCCCTTAAAGGGTGAAATTATATATGACACAGGCTTCCTATTGTTTTTCTTTGAGTTCATCAATTTCATTTTCTGCACCTATTGACTTATTCCATCTCCTTTCAATTCAAAGATTTTCACTTAAAATTTTTGCCTAATTCTTATTCAAAACATTTTAAGCCCTCCCATTTCTACTTCAATGAGAACTGACTTTCTTAAACTTATTCCTTGTTACTGGGGGAACAGATACGTGTAATCATATTGTTCTTCTCTGTGTACCTCACCCATCAGTTATGCTACACGTGGAAAGCAATAGTTACATCATGGGGTCCAATAATGTTCCCTATTAATACCCATTGTACATTGCATTACAAATGCCAATTAATCTTGAACTCAGTCCATAAATATGACCCATTCTTCATGATATTTGGGGTTCCCTGATAACTCAGTCGGTAAACAATCTACCTGCAATGCAGGAGACCCCGGTTTGATTCCCAGGTCAGGAAGATCCACTGGAGAAGGGAAAGGCTACCCACTCCAGTATTCCCAGGCTTCTTTTGTGACTCAGCTGGTAAAGAATCTGCCTGCAAGGTGGGAGACCTGGGTTTGATCCATGGGTTGCAAAGATCACCTGGAGAAGCGAAAGGCTACCCACTCCAATATTCTAGCCTGGAGAATTCTATGGACTGTATAGTCCATGGGGTCACAAAGAGTCAGACACAACTGAGTGACTTTCAGTTTCATGATATTTTAATATAGTTTCTTCTTAACATATGTGATTCTCTGATCCATTGTCATCTACTTCTCTTACAACCAAATAAAATATGTCCTATATAATTCTGTTATAATTTTATCTAATAAATGTAACTTTATTTAAACCCTTTGATTACTTATTTTAGAAATGCAAATGGCAAAAACATATGAGTGGGACTAACACACACACAAAGGCCCGTTATCTTGCTTCACTTCAAGTTCATGTAATCAGATATCAGGCGGTCAACACTTTGACAATTCTCATAACAGTTCATTAATGTTTGTTCTTCTAACTGTGTTTTCATATTTCATTAAATCTACTATATCTGTTCCTATCTTCCAGCCTCACAAACTATTGTTTTTGCATTAATACTTTGATAAATAAAATTGAGTCAGCAAATATTCTCTCATATTTCTCTAGTTCCACTAGAATTAAGTTTCAAAATTGCCCTAAGTGTAAGTTTTATTATAAATACTATTATTATTGTTATTGTAATTTCACTTATATCTAATTTTATTTTATCATTAAAAAAGTTAAAAAACACATTGGTTAATTTAAGTTACTAACCAGATAAAGATCTCAGAATTTCATATTTTTCTGTTTTATCCTTTGTATCTTAAACCTCAAGTTCAGAACCACTTTTCAATAAAACCATCTGACATCTCACCTTCATGGGTTTACACGAAGCTACCTGTGAGCATGTAGATGTTTTGACCCTGTAAGCTTTTATAATTCTTTTGAGTCAGGAAATCACTGTCCTTCTGGACTGTTCTTCAAACATCAGTCGCTCTTCAGCAGGAAGCTGTCACGCTCGCCCTGGGGGCGTTTTCCCTTGAGCATCAGCTTAATTTCTAGAAGGCTGCTTCTGTTTGCTGATTATCTGGGTTGAAGTTTTAAAACTGCTTTCTCTGTAGATGACTTGTCCTCCGCAGCTCTATCTTGGCACAAAGGTTCCCCTCTGTGGGGGTAGAAACTTAGTAGAGGAATGGCACTCTAGTATCAATAGTCCTTTCTGGAAAAAAAATTAAAACTTTCAATTTATTGCATTTCAGGCCATTAGTAATTGCTGTAAATTTGTCTTCCTTAATTTTAATCCCATAATTCATCCAGATCTCATCTTTCATATCTTTAGAAAAATGTGCCCCTTACTAATACACGAACATGGTATGTTTGTTCTTTCCAACCCATTTTAGGTAGGGTTAGATCCTTTTTCAGAAATGGAGCATTCTATTCCTAGACTAATTTTTGTGGAAATTAAGGTACGTTTTATCTGCTGACAAAAATCTGGATATGCTTATTCATGTTAGGATATCTAGTCGGTCATCAGCGTAGGTATCTAACAGATTCAAAATGAAATGCACCTTAAAAGTAGCCTAGAGCCTGTTATGCAGAGTGAAGTAAGTCAGAAAGAGAAAGATATCATATGTTAACACACACACACATAAATACATATATATATATATAAATATATATATGCTTGAGGAAAATGACACTGAAAAACCTATTGGCAAGGTAGGAATATGGACACAGACATAGTGAACAGACTTGTGGACCCAGCAAGGAAGTAGAGGGTGGGGTAAATTGAGAGACCAACGTTGAGACATACACACCACCGCATGTAAAACAGAGAGCTAGTGGGAAGTTGCTATGTGCATAAAACATAGGTAGCTCAACCTGATGCTTTCTGACAAACTAGAGGCGGGAATGGGGTGAGGTGTGGAAGACAGGTTAAAGACAGAGGGGACATGTGTGCACTTATGACTGATTTAGTTTGTTTTATGGCAGAACCAATACAACATTGTAAAGCAATTATCCTCCAATTAATATTTTTTTAAAAGAATAAACATTTAAACTCGATTATTTAAAACAGAAAAAAAGAAAAAGCAAAAAACAAAACAAAAAATAAACTCTCCTACAAAATGCTTTTTCTACTTCAGCTACTTCCAGGCAGGTATGTAGGTAAAATTGTCAGGAATGAAGTTACAAGACCAATATCAACTTCTGCTCATAAGCACATTTTTTTTTTCTTTCTGTTTAGAGATTCTTTGACAATTTAAAACACTATGAGTGTTTCAAAAATTGCATTTCTTTTTGTTTTTTAAATTAGCTTCTCTTTATTACAGCATGGTCCTAGTAAATTGGACCTATGTATTCTTTTTTAGGATTGATGAGATATCCACGTCATTCAGTGTCATGCTTATTTACAAATGAGAATTGCACTCATTATTTGTTTCAGCTAAGTTTTACTTACAAGATGGAACAAATTGAATGTCCATCACCCATGTGAGTAAACTGATCTAATTCCTAATTCTATTGTTAGGATAGTGAATTGAATATTTCTTTGTTCAATCACCATCACTCGAAAACAAATCTACAATCTGAGACAATAGCTCCAATATATCAGTGTAACAAAATAAAGAATCATCTTACAATCATATTACAGCGCAAGTTTGCAGTCAGTGATGAAGAATCTCTGGTTGCTTTCATCCAAGGGTCCCATTATTCCTGCTTCTTCTTTGCAGTTTCCTACTGGATCTTCAGCTTGCAGAAACCTGAGATGCCAGACAGACATAAGGAAACAAATACACTATTCAGAGACTCTACACATAATAAACACAACACTTCTACACATATGCCATTGTAGAAACTAATCTCCTGGTCCAATGTAGTTCTGAGAAGGTTTAGGGAATGATATTCATTGTATGTCAATAAAACAGAGGTATTTGAAAAGCATAAAGCCAGACTCTGCTGCAGTCCTCACTTTTGGTCACTAAAAAAAAGGGTGTTATAGCATGCTGCAACATGTATACCTTTAGACTGAAGACTTAGCATGACACATAATGGAATAAGTATTTATGGTACATATTTATGCATATTAATTTGTTTTGTATATATATTTGAACCTAACAATACAATGTCATTATTATTTTCATTAGGTTTTGATGTTTAAATTAGCAATAGTATTGAGGCATAATTTACATAACATAAAGCATGACCTTTAAAATTCAATCCGTGATTAGTTGAGATATACTTGACTTATAGCATTATATTAAATTCTGCTGTACAACATAAATATACTTTAAATGATCATCACAATGTCTTGTTAATATGCATCACCACCCAAAGTTATGGATTTTTTTTCTTGTGATGTGAATTTTTTAAAATTTCTATTCAGTTCAGTTCAGTTCAGTCACTCAGTTGTGTCCGACTCTGAGACCCAATGAACTGCAGCACGCCAGGCTTTCCTGTCCATCAACAGCTCTCCATTTAGTTCCTTATCTTAAGTTTCTCTCAATTATTTTCTAGTTTACTAATAACCTTCCTGCAGGGTTTTCATTTCCATTGCTTTTTAAATGTTCATATCTTTGTTCCTATTTAAATAGTATTTTCGATGTCTACTTATTTTGCTTTTCGATGTGAAAGTAACGGCTTCACAGGCGGCGCTAGTGGTAATGAACCTGCCTGCCAACGCAGGAGACATAAGAGATGTGGGTTCCATTCCTAGATCAGGAGGGTCCCCTGCAGGAGGGCAGGGCAGCCCACTCCAGTGTTCTTGCCTGGAGAATTCCATGGGAGGGGGGCCAACGTGGCAGAACCAGGCTTGATCCCTGGCTTGGGAAGACCCCCTGGAGAAGGAAATGGCTACCCACTCCAGTGTTCTTGCCTGGAGAATTCCATGGAAGGGGGGCCAATGTGGGAGAACCAGGCTTGATCCCTGGGTCGGGAAGACCCCCTGGAGAAGGAAATGGCTACCCACTCCAGTATTCTTGCCTGGAGAATTCCATGGACAGAGGAGCCTGTCAGGATACGGTCCACTGGGTTGCAAAGAGTCAGACATGACTGAGTGACTAACACTTTACAGTGTTCACATATACATTTATTCTCTCTCTCTCTCTCTTTCTTTTTTTTTCTACTGTATAGGCTAGTATCTCTAGTAAAATGTTGAAAAAAAATCTGTAATAGAAAAGTTCCTTTCCTTGGTTCAAATTACAGAAAGACATCTTTCAACATTTTTTAATTTAATTGTTTTGTTAACCCTATTGCTGAGATTAAAAAACAAAAAACAAAAAACAAATTACTTTAGTGTCATCCTTTACTGAAAGCATTCTTTAACTTCTTATTTCCCAAACTTAAGTTAAACACCATTCTATTATTACAAGTTCAATGTGGATCATTTTGCTGTATGATTTATTTTATGCTTTTATGCTAAATTATTATTTATCTAGTAACAGTTTGTTCCCCTAGAGTATGAAATTTAAGTGAAAACTGGATTTTTCTTCTCTGTAATGCATCATTATAACTACACTATATAGTTATGTGGAGCTTTTTTAAGCATGGAAACCAAATCAGTCACCACATGAATTCTCTTTAGTGATGACAGTCAGTGCCTATGGAAGAGGACGACCATGCAGCTGACCCCTGCCTCAATACTGGACAATGTACGTGATACAATCAAATGATATTATTCTAAACCATACATTTTGGATATAATATGCTGTGCAGCAACAGGATATTGAAACAAAGGACTTCAAAATGGCTTTGAAACCAAGTTTAATATTTTGCTTCCTTCAGTCCTTTCAATGGGTAATTTGTAATAGCCACGGTTGTCCTCTGTTACTGTCATCTGCACATTATCTCCTCTGAAATGATCGCTGTAATTTTTGTGTGCTTTTTAGATGTCTTTTTTGATGACATGATACCTGCTCAAAGAAGAGAACTAGCTAATAGATGAATTATGGTCTTATGAAAAATAAGTTAAACACATAGTATAATAAGAGAAAGACAGATTTAAAAAGAAAATATAAAAGAAAAAACCTTCCTCAGATTGCATCATTTCCCAATCAGTTTGACTGAAAATGATCCAGTGTACTGTCCATAGTTCAACACTTTCTATCTGAAGAAATACAAGATCTTTTTAATAGTAATTTCTTTTTAGTTTAATATAGTGATTCTGTCTTATCAAGTATCATCCTTTACAACCAGGGAAACTTGGGGAAATAATGTACTAAATATCCCAAGTATTTTTATTTTAATTTCAAATATATACTTCACCAAAAGAATTAAAAAAAAAAAGCAAGAGATCTTAGAGAATGGATAACACTATATGGGTGAGAAATTATTGAATCCCATACATTTTATATCTCTGAACAGCAAACATGCATTCATATTTTTTGCATTAGTAAAAATTAAGGTAGCAAATTATCAAGATGCTAGTAGCATGATTTGGCTACACAAAAAAAACATATCTACAAAGAAGAATTCAGACAGAAGCAGAGAGTAAAAATCTATTGCCACACTACAAAATTTTAAGGGTCATTATGCAGAATTTTATTTTTAATCTTTACAGATGGATCAAATCGAAGTTACTGAAAGGTAAAATGTCTAAAGTCAAAAGCACATAGATATTTAACGATTGTTCTCCAAACTTTTCCCATCTGTATTACCTAAAAACATCATGAAAAGGAAAAAAAAAGTGCATGATAGTTATATGAACAGGAAAGTACAAAAGTATCTATGGTTTTAGGGGAAAAGGTAGGTAAGTAATACTATATTTTCTCATAAAATTGCAACTCACCAGTAAATTTGTGGACTGAATATAAGATTGCCTAAATACATAGTTTCTTATCAGCAAGGCACCATAATATAATCCTGATATTAGAAAATCCAGCATAAAACAATAAGGTCAGGAATGAGTAAATATAATAAATATGTTAATCACATGGAAAAAGCAAACTATTTCTGATTATACAATGACAAAATTAAATAGGAAAACAGAAAATGAATTTAAATCAAGCAACTAATGCTTTCTTTACATTAAGGGAGCAGTTTTCTCAAGGCTGTCAAGACATCCTTATTTCTCAGAGTGTATATCAGGGGGTTAAACATCGGGGCGATAACGGTATAGAAAAGTGAGAGAAATGTGTCTGTCCTGGAAGAATTTTTGGATTTAGGTCATAAATATGTAGCAATCACAGATCCAAAGAATAAAGTCACCACCAGGACATGAGATGAGCAGGTGGAGAACGCCTTTGCGCTTCCTGTTGCCAATGGCAACTTCAGGATGCTAGAGGTGATTCTACAGCAGGAGGCAAGTGTCAGCAGGATAGGGGCCACGGCGAAAAGCACAGCAACTGTGAAGACCTGCGTCTCGTTCAGAAATGGGTCCCGCAGGCCAGCTTCAGTACTGGGCGGATGTCACAGAAGTAGTGACTCATTTGGTTGGATCTACAAAAGGACAGAGAGGAAACCTGGCACATCTGTCGTATCTCAGCTGGAACTCCAGTGACCCCGCAGGCAGCTACCAGCTGGACACAGACCTTGTGGCTCATGACCAGAGGATAGTGCAGGGGGCTACACATGGCCACGTAGCAGTCAGAGGCCATCACTGTAAGAAGCAGGCACTCTATGTTTGCAAATACAAGGAAAAAACTCATCTGTGTTGCACAAGCAAGCAAAGAAATATGTCTTTTCTTTTTTTTTTTTTTTAGAAATATGTCTTTTCTGGGTCCAAAGGTTTATGAGCATTCTAGGAAGAGTGGCAGACGCATAACAGATTTCCAAGAAGGAAAAATTACCGAGGAAAAAGTATATGGGAGTCTGGAGAGTCTGGTCTGTCCTGGTTATGAGAATAATAATGCCATTTCCCATCAGAATTATCACATAGATAAACAGAAACATCACAAAAAGAAACATTTGGAGATTGGGAATGTCAGAAAATCCCAAAAGAACAAATTCCATCATTGAAGTGAGATTCACATTCACTAGATATTTTTGAGGTTCCATCTGTGAAAATAGTACAATTAGTCATTTATCTTTTTTTGCTTTGTAATTCTATAAATTAAAGGGATTTAGGGGAATCGTTAATATTACATAAGATTTCTATTTTCTATTAATGTCTAATATTTTATATCCTGGACTAAACATAACTGAAGCTTAATGGAGAATATGTATGCTAAATTCTAAATATAAAAGCGTAAGTTGCAATTCAAGGTTTAACTTTAAACAAAAGTGATATGTTTAAAAATTATGCACTTTCATTTTGAATCTGTGTGCAGAGCAAAATCTATCCATTTTACTTTTATTAAGGAAGCAAAATTCTGAAGCAGAAATATTTGCATCCCACTTTCTCAGTGGTAGGGCACCACCAAATTCTGTAACGCATTTTTCAGGAATTTCCCAACTCTTCCATTAGAACTTTTTCAAGAATAAAGCATGCCATTCCTTTCATATTCTTCAATGATAGCTCTTACTTCTTGTGTGTGCACTTCATTTAAGACCATTCTGACTGCCTTTATCTACTTAAATAAACAACATAGCCATCAGGAATTATAAAGCAGGAACATTTATTTATCTTTTACAGGGATGCAGCTTATGTTTGATAGTGTTTGTGACTTCTCGGTTATTTAATTAATAATGACAAACTTGAAGGAATTACATTGATGATATAATTTCTGAAACTCAGCCTGGTAAATCTATTCTAAAATCTCTTACGATGTGCCAGAGGCCACTTTCATTTAAAAATTATCATGCTGATGATATATATAAGATGCAGCACATGAAAATCAAAACTGAAAACTATAAATTATTTAAAATATGGCTAATATACAGTTGTCAACAATATCAAAAGCAGAGAATATATTTTAGCTAGTAGGTAGGTGAGCAAATATAGTTTAGTGAGCAACTAGTGAGACCTACAGACACTCAAAGTTCCCCTGTGTTGAGATATACTTAGAAAATATAAGAATTTTATAAGAAAGGTGATTAGTAAACTGTAGTTTAAATAATATCCAGGAAATTGGAAAACACAAATTCCATTGTGCTCCTCTTGTGTTAGTAATCTACTTGTAATAGCAGATTATTGAATTGTGTTAACACCAGGTTATATTGATATTATAGATGAAGAAACTAGGGCTCAAAGGTTTACATGATTAAAGTAGGAAAAAAAAAAAAAAGGTGTTCTCTTTGACATCCAGGATTCATGAGCATGTGAGAAGGGTAACAGATCCATAGCTATTTCCAAAAGGAAAGAATTGCCAGAGAAAAAATACATAGAAAGGTAGGGGTCAAGACCTACTTTTGTTATTAGAATTATGGTTCTATTGCCCATCAAGATAATGATATTCCTAACTAAAAGCAACCCAAACAGAAGCCACTGGAGATGGTGAACATCAGCAAAGAGCAAGAGAAGAAATTCCTTCAATTTAGTTAGACTTTACGCTGGTATATTTCTTCTTGTTTTTATTTTTTCATTGCTGTTCTTGTTTTTTTTTCTATTTTTTGTGTTTTCTCTACAGAAAAAGAAGATTTAGCAATTGCTTTTACTCCTTGATCCCCAACATTTCTTGCTCTTCAGTGCTAAATAAATTATAATTTCTAATTGTACAAGTCCACCATTGTGATGGTTAAATTTTCAGCGTATACCATGAACAAGGTTCATGGTGAGATGAAGTTTTTGCATGTTATTCTCAACAGTGAGCAATTTAGAAAAAACAACTAGTGTGCTGTTTCTAAATTATCTATACTATACCTCTTTCTTGTAAATGTTTAAGTGTTTATTATTAAGGGAAATAAATATTAATGCTTTACTACTGCCATCTTTGAACTCAAGTCTCCATTACTTCAAAGAATTCAAATTATTAAGAAGATGTATGATAATATTCCATATCAGTTTGTCATTGGTCATATCACCATCTCTACCCTATCTACTTCAGTTAGGTCTGTATATGTAATATTAATTAGCAAGCTAAATCATGTAAGTAATTTAAAATCAGTACTGAGCTCAAAATCACTTCATTATTTTAATTTAAAAGCATTTATTTTTTTCTTAAAATAGATGCTCCTTGAATTTCCCCAGAACTTGCAATTGTATGAACTAGATTGTTTTATATTCGTTTCAGTTCAGTTGCTCAGTCATGTCCGACTCTTTGGAACTCCATGGACCGCAGCACACGAGGCCCCCCTGTCCATCACCAACTCCCCGAGTTACTCAAACTCGTGTCCATTGAGTCGGTGATGCCATCCAAACATCTCATCCTCCGTGCTCCCCTTCTGCTCCTGCCTTCAGTCTTTCCCAGCATCAGGGTCTTTTCTAATAAGTCGATTCTTCACATCGGTGACCAAAGTATCGGAGCTTAGGCTACAGTATCAATCTTTGTTTTATACTAAATCTCTTCTTAAAATATCATCAGGAATCTAATTAACTTAAAAATGCCCATTAAAATATACTGGCTCAAAACCAAGTTTATCTCCCCACGTTATATAAATTATATCAGTTATTCAAGTCTTCAGCATTTCAAATAATTTAATATCATTATTAAATATTTTAACTGTAAACTATATTTGACCTAGTTAGAAATACATGGAAGTTCCTTTAACATATCACTCTTGCTATTATATATTAGTATTAGATTTTAAAATAAAAGTTATAAACTAAAGCTTACAAGAATATAAAATAGTTCATATTTACCATTCTTATATAAGATGATGCTGATTTTATCTCACTGTAGAAGATGTAAATAGTTATATTAGTTTATGTGAAATCACAATTTAATCAGACATTCAACTTAGCTTTAAAATATTCCATTCTTCCCAAAATAAAGGGCTCTTTAATAAAGTTTCTCTACCCCATGAGATCTCTTCGACCAGTCATGTTACATTTCCAATTTAAAGCACCATTTGGCACTCTATGATTTCTTTTATTTTTCCCAGGTAGTTCTCACTCCATCCAGAATAGTTTCTCTTAAGCCTCTCCATGGACTAGAGTACACAGCACACTTTTTATTTCTTAAAATTGAATAAGGTGCTGAGCAGCATACCTGGAGACCATCTAAAACTGACACTCACCCAGTTCAAACGCTGTCAAGATCACTCTACTGTGAGCCTCTTTCTATTAACACTGAGCTTGCAGCACAGTTTCCTGAACATGTTTTTCTTATATCCTCCTATACTATATTCTTAATTGATATTTAGGGTCCTGCACATGTAATTGCCCAGATGATAAATACTATTTTAATCTTATATGTTATTGATTCTTCCCCAGGCACTGGGGAGACCTAAGAGATAGATGCTGTATTATCATTCCTAAAATAATAAAAAAAAAAAATCAGAACCACAGGTAATAGAGGTTTTATTTTCTCAGTTTAAAATTTCTAGTGTGAATGCAGTTGTAAGAGAAAATAATACCAACACTTTGTATCAGATAAAATAACTTGAATTCTCCAACTGAGATAGTGTGGAAAGACACAGCCTGTGTCTTTTGGGCTTCAATTCTGGGAAAAAAAAGAATTATTCCCAACACCTAGATTGTTTCAAAAATGTTGATTTGTACCCAGTCATGTTACTTATTAGTAAGCAGTGGCTTCTAAGGGTTTATGATTACAAACAGAAATATCCCGGAGAGGGAGCTCTGATGATAGAGTCATAACAGAGAGCGACTGCGAAGGTAATCACAGAGAATCAGGGAGCATGTGGAAGGCACCAGGGAAGGTGAGCGAGGAGTGGGTGATGTGAGAAGCCAGCCTGAACCGCGCTACTGCAGGCGCATGACCAAAAAGCCACAGAGCTGGGAGGAGTTCTAAAGCCTCATAATTAGCACAGTGTAGAATTATGCATGCAGAGAGAATTTCTGATGCCATAGGAAATAAAACTCAGAAAAAAACCCCACAGATTTATCATTCAATACCAAAATACCATAACACCTCTGCAAATATAGACTTTTAAATTAATGTTATTGGAATAGCACAGTAGCTTTAAAATAGGAAAGCTTTAAATGATGTGTAGGTTTAAATAGTGTAGAAAGTAAGTGAAACAATGAAAGCATTCTAAATTAAAATTTGTATAATCTTGAAGCAAGAAAACTTTAACTTTGGCTCAAAATTAAAATTCAGGACACAAAACCTGAAAAAAATTGACTACATAAATGTAGGTAAT